GGAGATAAATCCGGCCCTTCACTGTGAAAATAATAAGTGAACACTACATGAGGAGGCATTAAAGAATAATACAACAGAGCAGATTGATATTCTTCCAGGAAAGGTTTTGTTAGAGTTTTACTGATTTGTTTTAATTGAAGTTTTTTGTATTGCTTTACCTCTCATGTCACTTGTCCACAGTAACTGCACAAAACTAGTACCTAGCAAGGCCCAGGTAAAGACAGGCTTGATACTAGCAACAGACATATTTAAAAAGCAACATTTTCATGTCTTGGTAGGGTCATAAAAAGCTAGGTGACATTAGAAGTACTTTTCTACTCAATTTTTCCAGTTTGTGCCATTAACAGTTGTAAGCATTATTTAGGTAATCATCAAACAGTAATGAAACAGTCATGCTACTGTACCAACAATGCATTTAAAGCTGTCCTTTGTTGGTTATTTACTTGGTGCTAGCATTTATTTCCACCGATGCCTTGTGTCCAGACGCTGATAAATAGAAGAGCGTAGAAGATACCTCTGAACTGATTCCGTTCTACATGGAGTAATAATTAATCTGCACCTTAATTAAACAGACTTGTGAAAATTTTCTTGAAGGATTTCATTTAAAGAGTCTGAAAATTTTCCCTTGACTCCTGAGTGTGACTGTCTTTTTTTTTTTCTCTCTTCCTCCATGTTTGTATTTGTAAAGTAATAGCCCTTCTGCTGCTTTGTGTTGATCTTGGTCACATTTTATGCTTTAATATATGGTAGATCTGCTGATGAAGCCTACCATGGCCAGCAGGAGTACAGCCATGTCCAACAGGAACATTCCTAATGCAGGAATCTCTCATGCTGTCCCCACTGGAGGTAGTTATTGCAGGGCCTTTAATTTCCCTGCTTGTCTGTCCCGCAGTGCTTATGAACAGCTGATGTTCATAATGCTGGCAAAAGACGAAGGATAAAGTTCTCTGGTATTTTATTTTTGGCGTTTCCCTTTGTCTCCCCTCTTGTCTCTTTCAGCTTCTGTTGTTGGTGTAGCCCCTGAGGGATTCCTCAGCCTTTTAAGACTGAAGAACCACAAAATCGGGACCGTGACTGTGTGTAGCTTGTACTAAACTTCCTCTTTGCTGTCTCTCTCTGAAAGTAGAGCAGAAATCTTGGGATAGACGTAGGTTTAGTCATGAATACTGAGAAAGAAAACGCTGTACAACTGATAACTTGCATATTTAAACAGCTTTGGAAGACAAATTAATAATATGCTGCTGGTACCTGAGGAAAAGCAGCTCAGGATAAACATCCAGGATAAATGACCAGGAGAGAGATTAGCTCTGGAGGGAAACCTAAACAATAACTACATTCCTACATAGAAAATGCATTCCATAACAGTGTTTGTTTGGACTGGTTTTATATTTCTAAAATTATAGCTTATTACTGTATTCTTAGATTTCAGACTTTTTTAAAAAATACAGTGCTTAGATTTATACAGGATTTGTTTAGATACTTATAACAGTAACAGTTGCTTTATTAGTCATTTAGTTTTCTTTATAGACAAGAAGATATTCATTATTTTTTACAAGACAACAATTTTAACCTTTCTTAATAGAATACACAGGCTTGTAGTTTTGTCTTGGAGCAATAATTTAGTAACCTGCACTCTTGAGTCCCCATCTGAAAATCTTGATTTTTAGTCTCATCTTTCGTGAAGATATCTCAGCTGCTGAGGTATGATCTCTACCAACTGTATTCATTTACTAGAATATAGATTTTAAATAAATAAATATATATAAATATATATATATATATATATATTTGTAGGTGTGTTCAGGCTGTAGGTCTGAACCTACACCTGTACCTTTTGCCAATAGATGCATGGAAATCAGCTGCACATGTAAGTCCTAGGCTTAAGGGTTCTGGGTTCATTTTGAAGTACAAGGCTTGTAACAGTATTGGTAATTTCTGTAAGGGATTAATATGGGAGAGCATGAAATCTTCTTAGGCATGTGTCCTTGCAGAAGAAAAGAAGGAATTTCAATAATTCTATGAAGAGTAATACAAAGAATATGATGTTTTGTTACGCTGCTGTTTCAGTCAATTTTGCACTGAAGTTGGTGCAAGTTTTGCCTGAATAGCTTATGTCTCTGAATTGACTGTTTGGAAATATTTAGGTGAGAATAGCTCCTTGTATCACATTTACTTCTAAATTAGTGCCTCTAAGTAGGCACAAAGCATGACAACCTTTCTGAAATCACATGCTACAAAACAATGTTCAAGTACAGACAAGTCCCACATGAAGGATTTCAGGACTGTGATCCCGGAGAGGCTCAATAAGCCTTGCAGAACTAAGTTCAGATAAGGACTAATAAGTGATGTTTTGGTTAAATTATTTTTAAAGTATCTGCCATGTATATACAATTTTTCCTCTGTTATTTGTATATACCTCAACTCTCAATTTTATAATCCCCTGGGAAGGGAGGGAGTTGTACATATTTAGCCTGAAGTGTTTTATGTTAGACTTTAATAAACTTGTTTTATAATTTTCCCTCACCTTGTGTCTCCTGTTTATAACTGCAAGGGGTAGCAACAAAAGCAGGAGGGAACCAGTCAGACACAACCCCTGTCACTACCCTGGCTCAAGGACCATGGGGGCCCCTGGAGCACACTGTAGGATTTGGGGGACTTCTGCAGCACCCCTGCCCTGATGGATCATTCACTTGCCTTCATTTGCCCCCCCTCTAAAACTGGGGGCAAAATACTGCCTTTCAGCAAGGTAGAGTGAGGTCTAAAAGCTGGAAAAATGGTTTTCAGAGCAGGATTATGCTTGCTTTAGCCTTTGAATAACTCAGAAGAACACGGCAAAAAGAATCTAGCCCATGTAAATTCAGTCATTCCAAAGAACACAAGATACATCTTTTAAGAATTTCAAGGTCAGAGGAAGGAAGAAATAAGTCTCTGGCACGGGCTTCTTTAAGCAACACAGGTTTTGCACAAATAATTGTTTTAGTTTCCAGGAAGCTGTTTATACAGAATTTGGTAGGAATTACTCTGCAGCCCTTTCTTACAAAAGAATAGCAAAGAAAACTGTAAAACATGAGCTGTTTTTATGGATGTTGTCAGTAATGAAGAGGGCTTTATGGGCTGAACAAGTTGCTGTTAAATAAGGGTTCAGATAGAGTGCAAATACTTCAAACACATACACCAGCACTTTTAGATGCCATTTTACCTGATATATTTTGACTGTGATATTGTTGCCATCTTATCACATCACTAAAACCAAAATACTGCTGTTGGTAGAGTTGGGTACCTGTTACCACCTCAGATTAACAGATGTCATTCATAAAAGTAAATTAAGATGTAATTTGAGCAGTGAAATTAGACTGAACTTCATATATCTGACAGGGGAAAGAAAGATAATGGGAAAAAAATACCTGCCTGAGTCTTGTAGAGGTATTTTTAGCAGGAAATTCTGTCATCAGTGTGTCAGTACTGACACTATCAGAGTGGCACCTGCAATGATCCAGAGCAGCAGTGCTCAGAAAAGTACCAACACAGGCTTGTCTAATTATTTCAAAATTTAGGAATTTGGAATTATTTTAGGAATTTAGGAAAAATCTAAACATAATAATCTACATAGCAGATTATTCTCAAACCATCATGTTTGGAGTATCCCCAATTTTAGTTCTTGTTGCTGCATCCTTGCTGCTGAACAAGAGTTAAAATACAAGGTCCTCTCTAGAGCTGGGTGTTCACAGGGTGATGTATGGACTTTGTGCTCAGCACAGTGACTGCAGGCTGGGAGGGCCCTGTGCAGGTGTGCAGAACAAACATTCCTGCTCTGGGCTTATCCCTGAGGATACCAGGAGCTCCTGGAGCAAGAGCCTGAGTAATTTATGTTTGGGGTTGAGGGCAATGAAAAAAAAAACCAAACCACCCAAACAACAACAAACCTCCACCTACACCTGCTCTCACAACTGCCCTGGTCATTTCAACTGGGGAAAAGGTGTCCAATGTCTTCCTGTTCCTACACTACCACAGTGATAATGCAGAGTCAAAACAGCAGCAGTTACACTGCTGCTTCCCAGCTATTTGTGCTGAAATTACTTTCTTACGTTTCCCCTCGTGCTTTGATATTGCACATACAGTCACAGATCATTCTGGTACTTTATGCTAACATTTAACAGGTACATTTAGAGGGGCAGAGGATTGCATTCACGAAAGGCTTGCAGCAAACCTCTGCTGTCCTGCTAGTTGACTTTTTCTGTTTAGGAACATAAACTAAGTCACTTCTGCAGGAATGAGCACTTACACAAAGTCTGTCCAAACCATTACACAGTGTTTATCATTACATGCATATGTTGTTTTACTCATGTGTAGGAATTGCCACAGGGCTACAATGATACAAATGTTTTTAGGCAGTTTTCATGAGATGAGAAGAAATTACAGCATCAGATTTGGTGGTGGTTTCTATTTGTAGCATGAGAAACAAGTACATGCTACAATTTAATCAAAATTCCATGTATATCCCAGCAAACAGGGTTCACCAGCTTTAAATTCTAGCATGGCTGTGGCTTAATGCTTAAGTTCACTTACCTTGGTTTAAAAAAAGTCACTGCTGGAAGATCAAAAGGATGCAATTGCTAAGCAAAAGGAAAGTTCATGGAGAACAATTCCAACAAATGGATTTACCCAAAGCTCTCAGCTGCAGCAGGAATCTGTCTCTGCAGGACACCTGATCTGCTGCCCAGCAGGCATCCTGGGTGTTGCTTTTGTCAGTGCGCTCTGCCTGGCTACAAACCTTTTCATAGTTACAGACTTTTAATAGATGGAGCATGATTTAGCAACAAAGTTTGAGGTCATTTGTTTGATACTTTCTCTCTGTTGCATTTCAAGCAGGGGTACATTCCTCCTAGACTCAAACCCCAGAGAAACAACACGCAGCGAGTGTGATACTGACATAACCTATTTTACTAGAAACCAGGTAGGGAAAGCTCAGGCTCGGGGAGTGTCCCGGGGCGCAGCCTTGCTCACAAATACTCCGAGACCGCGACGATTTCCAGGCTGGCGTTGGCGGCGCCGGGGGCCACGGTGGCGGAGCGCGGGCTCCAGTAGCGGTGCTTGGCCAGCCCGTGGGACAGCTCTGCCAGGAGAAGCTGCCCGTCCACCTCGTAGGGAGCCACGTCTGTGCAGTCCAGCTGCAGCCGGCCCACCATGATCAGCTCCGAGAATGCCTGGAATGGAGGAAAGCGGGGATTATACGTGCGGTGCTTCCTTTGGCCCTTTTGGTACTTCATCCCTTCAGAGTGCTGACCTCCAGGGAGTCTCATCCCAGCAACACCATATTATAAGCACATTAAAAAGCCCAAATAAATCAAGTGTCTTGTTCACAAATTACTGTAGTCTTCCCAACAATAGAAAGATAAATTGGAACAATCAAACCCCAGCCTTCTCAGATGAGTTCAGAGCTGAACACTTACCACACAGGTGCTTCTATCAAGTTTGTTCCCCCAGATGTAAATATGGGAAAGTGTCATGTTGGAATGCATTGCCTGTGCAAGAGCTACAAGTCCTTTGCCAGTTATATTATTGCTTACAACAGACAACCTAGAAAACAGAGAAAATGTGTGCCAAACCATAGAATTCCCATCTCTTAGTTAAAAATAAGAATCTAACTATGATTTAGTCTTATTGTTATATTTCATACATATATAGAACTTTTTAATTTAAAATATAATAATTTATTTGTATCAAAGCCAGTCCTACTCTAATATCCTCTTCAGATTGCCAAAGGCAGTTGGCTTCTGGATTTACTCTATTTCTCAAAGCACTTTCCTGACTCTTGCAGCCAGGTTGTTCACTACTGAGTTCTTCAGTGTCAGTGACTTTGCTGCATGGTGGCCAGGTCTCATCTCTAGTCTACTTTGAAGCCCAAACCTTGGCATTTATCCAGGCTAAGCTTTGATCTTTGTGGAGTGGCAGTTATTTTTATATTAGTGAACCTGCAAGGCTTTCAGAGGCACCTCGCAGCCGCCACCTCCTCAGTCTGCTACTTAAAACTAATGGCTTCAGGTAACACCTTTGATCAGCTTTCATGTCCTGCCGCCGGGGGTTTAACGCGGCTGCAAAAGACACCCTGATGGAGAGATTACAGCTCTTCTGGGTTCACCCGGAAGCGAACTTAAACAGAGGATTTTCTTAAGTGTTGGAAGATCAGAACCAACAAATATAGTGCCTTATCCCAGCGTGGAATCTGATTATCTCAAAATTCAGAAGGCCTACAGCTCTTGTTTTCGTTTGCGCGCCACAGGGACCTGCGCTTCAAAGAGGCAGAAGGAATGAACAGATCAAGTGCCTCACCTCTCGCTCTCCCAGAGCGACTGTGAAAGCTGTGAGAGCTCTGAGCACACCTGGGGCTCACCTCCAGCACCCCAGGGCGTCTCACAGGTCTTGGAGCACCTCACATGGCAGCAGACACCGATACTTAATAAAGAAATCCCATCCAATCTCTCATGGGTTTTTTTCCCCAAGAAGGAAAAATTGTCTAAAACATTTGGAACTTCCTGACTTTTCTATTTTGATCAAGATGAAGACACAGAGCTGAGATGCCTTTCAGCCAGTGCAAAGTGCAGGTTGCTTACCTGCAGTGTGCAAATACTTACGCCTTCAGAGTCCTGTTCCGCATTGCCAAGGCCTCGCTCAGGTAAATGGCTCCAACATCTTCTATTCGGTTTGCACTGAGATCCAGGATCTCCAGGGTTTGGTTCTTTTTTAGTAGCTCTCCCAAAAATTTAACACCATCACAGATTATGTTATTACTGAAAGAGAGATGCACCTTTTTTTTGTTTTTTTTTTTTTTTTTTAAGTTGCTAAGAAAATGAGTTTCTAATGTGCCACATTTAAGCACTCTCACCAGCTAAGGTCAAGGTATCTCAGGCTGGAGTTTTCATACAGGGCATCACACAGTCGCTCTACACCAAAGTTTTTCATTTCATGCTTGCTCAAATGTAGTTCCACAAGAGAAGAATTACTCCTCAACATCCGAGCTATATGAACTGTGGTCTCTTCCTAGAAACATACACTAAATTTTATTAAGCTGGACTTTAGGATAAGATACAGTTGTGCCTCAGTAAAAGAGAGTTATGCAACTAACTGCAAGATCTGGTCATCAGTAGTGTTCTATTCTGTATATTGTATAAAAATAACCAAAAAACAACATGTTATGATAAAGCTAAAAATGAAAAAAAAAAAAAAAAAAAGGAAAATTACTTTAGAGATATTTGCAGTTTTACAATACTGTCTATATCCCTGCAAATATAAGTGAAGCATCAACATTTAATTATGTCTAATCAGTTTCCCTCTCTGCTATTGCTCTTTAAAAAATGGAATATTTGAGTCAGTCTTTGCTAACATTAGAAAGTATTTTGTAATGATGCTAATTATTTCATACAAGAATGAATTGGTCAAAGTTTTTACTTGATCTTGGAGATCTTTTCCAACCTTAAAGATTCTGTTAATTGTATGCAAAAGAAACAGGACTTCTATGGCAAAAAATATGTCCTGCCACTCTAAGGCAAAGGAAGTTTGTTCAAAGTTGTCCTGTTTAGTTGAGAAATTAACTGAGTGAATACTGTGAGTCAAAAATAAAGGAAAACCCAGAAGCCTCAGAAAATGATAGAGCTGAAGGTAGAAACAATGACAAATAGAGTCTCTGACAGTCCAGACCAGGTCCTTACTGTTTCCAATAGCAGTAGTTTAAATTGACTTCCAGTGCTGGGTTTAGGCAGATCAAGCCCAGCCTTAGAAAAGAAACAACTAAAATCTGTTCAAACTGTGAAATGGACCTTTGGGAATTGAGGAGGATCTGGTTTTCATAACAGTTTAATTTCATTATCCTGCCATCAGGAAAGCACTGATCCTGTCCCAGACACCTGAGAACTGCTGCCACCTGTACCTAGCTCTGCCATGCACACAGCCATGCACACAGTGAGACAGCAAAACCACTCAGCCCAGAGAATGTGGGAATTGCTGCAGTGCCTTTCTTCTTTAGGCTCAGGTAAGCAGCATCCTTTGTGCTCCCCCTCGTTTCCTGCTACACAGCATGGCTCCCTCAGTTTGCTGAACAGTGCAGGAAATTCCATTTTCTAACAGCAGAAGGAATACTTGCTTCTCCAACACCAGCCCCTCTCTATCAGCCCATTTTTTAATAAATATATCAACAAAGAAATTGTTAAACATTTAACCTTCCAGTTAAACAGGTGCGGTCAGTGACTGCACAAAACTTGTTACAGAAAAATATTCCTGCAACCATTTTCTCCAGTTTGTAAGGAATTCCAGAGAGCTGATGTCCATAAATATATCAGTACTCACTTGACTTATGCCCCTCTCTCTGAGCTGACTCCACAGTCACTCACATACCTGTTGGCTGGATAGCAAAGGACGATTTAGGTTTATGGCTTTGAGTGATTTGTTCTGAGTCAGGGCTATAGCTGTTGCTACCAGACACTGCAGGCCCTGGAAATGAAAAGAAACTCTTTAGAGAAACCTGTTCACTGTATAGATCAAGCTACCAAATTGCCATTGCTATTATTTCTGCCTTCATCTACTCTGGAGGTAGAGAGATGGGACTACAACAGGCAACTGCTTACAGACACTTAACAGATTTTCTGATAATACCAATGCCAACTGCCTATAAAATAGCAGAGTGAAATTAGACTAAGTAATACAAATGACTTGGCAACTCAGAAAATAAAAAGCAAGAATAATGGATCTCAAAAATACTTGTCCATTCAGTTGATCCTATGTTTTGATTTCCCTGATTCATGAAGCAAAATCAGCTTATGTGTATTTCCCTAATATTTATCCACCAGGTAAATTCATATTTAGTATGAATCAGGCAAATTTAGATTTTTTAAAATATCCTTCTAATTAGCCCCTATTTTATTTTTATGCTACTTTTCAAGTAGGCTGGGCTGTACCCAAAGCCATCTCATTTTAAACCAACCCTATCAACTCCCTACCAAGCACACACATACCAAGCTTTTGAATAAATCCTACACTGCCTACACTTCCCTCATTCATGTATTCATGACACCTTCACACTTTCCAAGGGCTATCCCCCCTTCTGGTTCAGAAGCAAATTCGGAATTTCCAGGAGAAAAATATATGCTTTTAAAAGCAATCCACAACATCCTGAGTCTCCCTGTGCAGAGTGTAGGAAGTCTCAGTGCCTAGGTCTAGGAGGAACCACATTGTCCAAGAGTAAATTTGGTGCTTTTCTACTCAATTCTGCACTGCTGTGCTTATGTCCTTTATGGGTCAAGCTCTGAGAGAAGCAGCAGAGCTATGGGATGAGTGACTTTCAGGGGTTTCAGCACTGCTCACTTTAGAAGGAAAAGATTCTCCAGGGAATGAGAAGTCCATTCTTCAAAATGAATTATAGAGGACTTAGCTCAACAGAAATGAACAGCAGAAAACCTCAGAAAATGTGCAAGCAAAGCATTTGAATTCCTAGAGAGACACAGTGGCTCTAAAATATCCCCAGTTCTGGCTTCACAGGTGCTTTGTGCATTGTGCCTTTCCAAGCACACATTGCAGTATTGTATATTCTGTTACCTCTGGCTGTCACAAAATCAATGACAACAGATGGCATTTCCCCCTAATTAAGCACTGCAGGACCCTTGTAATACCCTTGAAAGACTTATGTCTTATTGCTGATAATTTTACTGGGTTACTCACCACATCACAGTCTCCAAGATCCAACTTCTCTAAGGTTGAATTAATTTTTAACATTGAGGCAAAGAACATCCCACCTTGGTTTCTTATTTTGTTTCCAGTCATTCTCAGGTGCACAAGACTTTGATTGCTCTAGACAAAATTTAAAATATATTCCTTTAAGATGGCCTGGAAAACAACATTGTCCTGTTTTTTTTTAATGTGAATTCTGCTGGTTATCACACAGAGACAAAACAACCTTCCAGAAGAATTGTGTCCAAGTGATAACACTGGTTCAGCTCTTGGCTCAGGCTCCCCTCAGTGGCACCACATATGAGAGTCTGAAAGCAAAACTCCTCTGTTTGAAAACTTTTGTTTCTCCCAAGTTCATGAATTTCATCACACTCATGAAAATAAACCAGGCAAATATTTCTTCTTAAATTGGCATCTGAGATGCAAGTTGCCTTAATACTAATTTAAATCTGGTAAGCCTTGTATGAGCCCAGCATTGTACATCTACTGCACAGCCTTAGTGTTTTGGAAGCCTGTCAAATTTAGTTGAAATCAGTTCAGGGTTCAAAGACTGTGAAGGAGGAAGAAAGAGCTCATGTGGGTCTCCTTTCACAAACACAACAAATCTTACATACAAGCCTCATTTCCTTGGGAAACCACATTAAAAATAACAAACTTGGGTTGGTGGTGCTGCTGTAAGGCAAAGTTTTGAAAACATGTCTCAGACATCTTGAATCAAGACAAATATTGATGTCAAAGTACAGGCAAATTTAATTTATTTTTTGGGGGGAAAAAAGGAAAAAAATGATGGCATTATATATCCTGTAGCATAGTAATTTTCACACAGAAAAACCCATCTGCAATAGTTGTGCTTTTTAGACATAGACAATTATGCCTTTTTACAGATAATGAAGTGTTAATGGCAGCACAGTGCAACTTTCTCTTGTGTGAAATCTGATTTCTGAAGTGTGCCTTGGGAAAGCAGGCAATCCCTGTGACACAGCAACATGCTGAATGGAGCAAAGACAGAGGCTCCTTTCAGCCAGCTCTGACGTTGGCAGCACAGCCAGTGCTGGTCATCAAAAGCAGAAAGATCAAAGGAGATGCCATTGCCTAAATCTCCCAGGCAAATACTCACATGGAGTGCTCCTGCTATCAGCTCTGCCCCACTTGTGCCAATGTCATTGAACATCAGGTTCAGATACTGCAGAGAGGAGTTTTCCTTGGGAAGAAACAAAGCAGGAAGCAATGAGATATTTTTGTTGGTTTTTTGGTTTGTTGGTTTGTTTTTTTTTTCCCAAAACACAGCTGTATTTTCCAAAAAGAAGATATACATATATCTTTGCAGCATTTCAGGCAGTTCATGAGTTGGAGAAGTAGTTAAAGAATGCCAAATTATGTCAGGTGGTGAGGGCAAGGCATAAAACCTGTCATGGGGAGGGCCCTTATGGGGCCTGGGGAACCACCCAGGAACCCTGTGCATGAGGCAGGTGGCCAAGCTCAGATGCACAAATTCAGGCATTTTGTGAACTTAACAGTGCCCCTCAAATTCTAGAAACACAGGCACAGGGTGACAACTCGCTATTTATCACCTATATCCCAGTGCTTACAATGACAAAAAGGTTGCATTAACATTCCCTATGTTTAGACCTATAAAAAGGCTAACAGAGATTATAAAATAGCTGAAACAAAGGCCCTGGCACACTTGACACAACCATTACCCCCTTTGTTGAACTGAACTGTGAGCCTAAAAGCCCCACAGTTTATTCCATCATTCTTTTCTCAGGACCCTGCAGCCAAATATCCAAAGGCCTTCTACCAGAAATTAAAAATCTCCACAGAGAATACAATCTGAGGTTCTAGTAGGACAGATTGGGATGTGATAGTCAAAGTTATTGGAATTTTGCCAAACCAGCTCATTTTTGTCACCAATACACCACATATAAATATTACTATAGACAAATAAATTACAAGTTGCTGAAAGATAAACATCTCTTGGCACCTGGAGGAATGTTGCCATGGTCTTTGCTCCAGCATCAGTCAATAAATTATAGGCAAGATCCAAACCTGAAAAAGGTGAAGAATAAGGAACATGACAGATGCATATCTACATTGAACTGATCTCTGAACAAAAAGAAACAAAGATGAACTAAGGCTGAAATCAAGACTGCTCATGTTTTGTTAGCACAGCCACGTCAAACACACAGGGAATAAACCTTACCTGTGACAAAGGCAGCTTGGCCTAAGACAGAGACAAGAACTCCAAGATCATCGTCTGTAACTCTCGGCACAGGCACCAGATGATTATTTCCAGCTAATTTTAATGTAATTCCTTTTGTACTTCTGCAGTAACACAAAAATGTAAGCACGTGGGGAGAAGTAAAATGATAGAGACAAATGAATTTTCTCTCCATATCAGAGGTGTGCCATGTCTGCCCTCCCTGTCTCTGCTTTGGTAGCACCAGCACAGGTGATTTGATCCAGGCAGTACCTCAGCACTGCCCTTTCTGAAAGCATTGCTCAGCACTGAAACAGGAACCACCAAGATGAGGGGAAGGCAGATGGAAATAAAGATTATGTCAGAGGTTACCTCATCATCTTCATTTTACTTGCCCTCTTTCCTTTATTTACTTTATCCTGCCCTCAGGATCAAAACCTGACACAAACCATTTCACTTGCTCAGGTTTTTTCCCCCTAAAGGGCAATTACTTTGATCCCAGCACCGTCCATGAGAAGAAGCAGTACCCAGACCCCTAATGAGACAGAATTTAGTTGGTTAATGACTTGGCAGGATTCAGAGACAACTCAGGGAAGCATGACCAGCTGGAAGGTAACTGAATGCAGCTGAGGCTTTTTAAACAGGAGTGAGACACAAAGAAGGGAGTTAGGATGACTAAACACTGGGTTTGGCTTCTTTAGGGGACAGAAAGGCACCGTCCTGTGTATTTTTCACTTTTTTTTTATTTCAATGCTTGTAAAGCTGCCCAGAAAGGATGTATAGCTACAAGCTTCTGCCAAGATGATGTCAAGATGAGTCAAACCAGAACTTCAGCAGTAAATGTTAAATTTGATTTGCGTTTAAGCCTGAAACTGTATGAACTTTGCCATTTTTCAATTCCTCATCCTGCTACCCCATTTAAGGCTTTCAGAAACATCAGAAACACCCCGTTTGTTATTTTCTTACATTTCTTCATTTTTATCAGCTTCTTGAAGCACGCGAGCAATGAAGGGGTTTTCAGGCTGGTTCAAATTTTGACAGGCCTGCACATAACACAGGTGAAGATCAGGAAGAACCGACATGACCTGCAGGAAAACAAAACCAAGTGTTATTGTATCTTTTTGGCAGCCTAGCAACCGGGAAAGATCTGCATAGCAATACAATGGGCTCCGTCTGGAAAGGGTTTGGAGTAACAGATACATAAAAAGCATGAGGAAAACGGCGGGTGTGTTTTCTATGTGCTGTAGTCAGTTAGAGCACCGTGCTAATTATACCGAGGCAAGCCATTCACTTCAGAGTTTAACTTGATTATTCTTCTTCCAGCTCAGCATATTCTGTAATAAACTCAGAGACAAAAGTATCTGAGCTAACAGAGAAGTGATCCTGTGGCAGCCGAGCCCCGCAGGCCTTACCTCAGCAATGCCCACCTCTCCTCTGTCCCTAGCTCAGCCTGCGGTGACCGGCCCGCGGTGAGTCCGGTAACCGGGCTGCTCCGAGCCGAGCTCGGTAACGGAGCCCGTTCCCAGGGAGGGTGTCCCGGAGCCCGTTCCCAGGGAGGGTGTCCCGGGCCCGTTCCCAGGGAGGGTGTCCCGGGCCCGTTCCCAGGGAGGGTGTTCCCAGGGAGGGTGTCCCGGAGCCCGTTCCCAGGGAGGGTGTTCCCAGGGAGGGTGTCCCGGGCCAGCAGCAGGAGGGAGCCAGCGGGGGTTGCCAGGAGCCCCCCGGGATCCCTCCTCAGTGCGGGGCTGAGCTCCCGGTGCTGCCCAAACCCTGGGCACGGAGTTGGTCTCCGAGGAGCCTTTGCAAAGCTGTCCATGGTTACACGGATCAGCTGTTCCTTCAAAGATTCCTGTGCTGGCACTTTCCAGCAAATAAATCCCTCTGGTGATTTCACCGCCGCTCTCCTGGGCAGGAGGGGGTGGCTCCATTTTCCTGAGCTGCAGCACTGCCAGGAGCTGTCTGCGCTGGGTCTGTCTCGTAATCTCCTGCACAAACTCCCCCCAGGTTTGAAGAATCTCCCTGACACGAGGGCGCTCAGACTGTCTGGACAGCCTGGAGGAGATCCCACACCAGCTCTGCTGCTGGCCTTCCCTTTCCCGTGTTTGTGTGAGGAACACCACATTACACACTGCACCCGCATCCTCCACCAGGTTAATCAGAGTCAGGATGCTAGATCTGAGTGAAAAATGCTTTGATGCTTTTCCTAAAGGAATGCTCACTATGAAAATTGTATTTCTTCCTTTGTTTTACTTTTTATTTGATTGATACCTCCCTTTTGCACAATCCAAGTTCTCCATTACAGCCAAGTGTCACTTTTGCCTACACAGTGAGAAGGGACATTGCACTGGTGCACACCCAAGCCTGGGTTCCTCATTATTGCTGGCATCTCAGTATTCAGGCAGAAAAAAGCAAGAACGTGGAAACACTAACCTTCGTGTTGAATCATAAAGATGGAATCCTGACTGGAGGGACTGCTGCAGTTTTTCCACATCTTTGTTTTTCTGTGTACACTGGGAAAATAAGAGCTGCATTTGCACAGAATCAATATGTCACAAAGTGAGCAAAGGGCAATTTAAAAATGGATGTGATATTGTTAATATCTTTAACTCCATGAACATTTGCTGTTCATTTGATAATGAACAATTATGCACCCTTGGGCTACGGTAAGTCCAAGAGTATTCATAGACATCCTTACTTTAGGGCTCAGAATACACTTTCCTTTTTATTTAATGCAATGCTTTTTTCCCAAGCATTTTTTTTTCCACTGGTGCAGTTTTCTTCTTGAAGGTTGCATTTACAGAAGTAGTAATTTATGCAAAAGACTCAGATTTCATTAATTTAAATTGCTCTCTGCTGCACTGTGCATACAAAGGAAATGAAGAAGCAGACTAATGTTTCTGCTAAGAAATAAAATTAACCCATAAGAAATCTTTCCAGCACAGGAAACAACATAGATGTCTTTGCCAAAATTTCTGCCATACTGTGAGGTATAATGTGACATTAATGAGCAGAATATTCTGTGCTCATCTATCAACAGTAATGCAGCTCCACAGAATTTTCTTAGGAGATTTCTTCCCTAAAAACAAAATTCCAAAGATTACTATTTAATTGACGTAATATATCTTTTTAATGACTATGTCTAGATACCTGTGGAGGTGAAGGAACTGAACATTTTAAATGTTTTAGCCTTTCTGAAAATAAATTCAGTATCTTTCAAAAGGAGATCTTTCTCCTGGAGTCATTAGAAATATTACAGCTGGGACAAGATAAAGGAATTCAATGTCTGCCAGAAGACATAAACAAATTGCAGGCAGGAGTAATAGAAGGGGCAAGATCTTGTTCTGCTGCTACATGGAAATTTCATGGACTTCAGCTGATCCCAAATGCAGGACTGAAGGGACTCTTAATCTCTTTAGGTACATGGTGCAGCATCAGGCCAGAACTGTCAGAACAGGAATAATATCAAAGCTCAGCATGTAAAGCTCATATTGTCTCTCTGTGTTTAGAAATGATCCCAACAATATCACAGTTTATAAACCTTACTTATGCACTTTAGCTCCAGAAATGATCAGTACCTTGTTTAGGAATATGGAGTAGGATTCCAGACAGGCCACACACTTCTACCAGGACCTGCATTACCATCCTGTCTTACAGAGGTGTAAAAAGCAGTTTGAAAGTATCTTCACACTTTGGCAAAACTGTTCACTGATGTTTCAACAATCTGCAGTTCCAGCACTTTGAATGACTGCAAGCTTCACTGCCTCAGTGGTACTGCCCATCTCTGACATGGCTTGGTGACAGTTTGGGATGTGTCTGGGTATGGCAGGCTTATTTGAAAGCAGTGGGGTCTGCAGGATGCAATTTCTGCCAAGATTCTGGCTCTGACACATCAAACACCTTTGTTATTAAAAGAACCATGACAAACATAATATTGCTGTAATTATTGCATGTCAAATTTATGTGCAACCATGTCTTTGCACAGCACTTGACAGGCAGATGGCTGTTTGTCCTAGACACAAGATGTCCTTGTCTAGTTTTTATTCTGTTCTGCTCAGCTACCCTTTAAGCCCCTGAGTTTCATTTGCAGTGTACACAGAGCACCGAGCTGGACTGGGGCCAGCCACTGTGCAGGTTAAAAATGCAGAGTGGGTGGGAGCAGAGCCTTTTGTTTTGTTCAACTGGCTGGAGAGAACTGCAGTCCTGCTCTCCCTCCCCTTGCCTCAGGGAAGGTGGTGAATCCTGAGGGAGTTGATGAGGAACGAGAGTTCCATCTCCAGGTAGTGCTCTCTGAATCTGCATCCAGGGCATGGAACTAATTTCTGTTTGGCTCTTGATTGATACTGAAATCTCATTAATGTGCTCTCTGGCAGGAGAGAGCTGGGACTGCAGCAAAGTGGGATGGCTCTGTTCTGATTTTCCATTTCACTGGATAACTGAGGCTGTTTTGATTGTTTGGAAATGTCTAACGAAATGTTTTCACCCTAAGTGAAGGCAAAGAGGAACAGAGAGAAGGATGAATCAGAAACTGCCAAGGAAATCATTGGAAGAGAGATTTCTGGGCAGATTGGCAGATGCACAAGATATTTAGAGGAGGTGATAAAAGAAACAAAAGCTTTTTAGTGGCACAATTATAATGACAGAATAATAAGAGGGCAAAGACTGAGCAGGGGGATCGGGGCAGGGGAGAGTTTGCCAGCAATGGGTCTGTCCTGGGCTCTGGAGCTGAGAATGAGGAATCCAGCTATGAAAGAACAAGAAACCCTGGCACTGAACTTGAGTTCAGTTAGGAAGATTTCAACAGAAAGTGGACATTAAAGGTAAACTGGAGAGAGAGGTTCAAGAGGCAAAGGATTAATTCAGAGAAATTCTCACGGAACAGATAAAAGATCAATTTCCCAGTTGGATCAAAGGTGGATTTGAGGAGGAAAGTCACATGAAGACAAGTGATAAAGAGAACAGGTTGGTGAGATGCTGTTAAACAGACATGATGGTTTTTCCTCATTAGAACAACTGTCCTGGCTAAAGTCACTGCTTGAAAATCCCTCTTGTTAGCCCTAAATGAAGCAGGGGCTCTTTGCTTTATTTCAGAGGTTTAAGATCCCACACAGCAATTCCTTGCTGCCCCTGACCAAGAGATTCTGGTTCAACTCACATTCCTCAAAGCTGGAGGAGCCAAGTGCACTTTTCAAGTGGAACCAGGAAGTCCAGGGTGACTCTTGCATGAAATCATGTATTAAATGATCAATAGGTACCAGCACAGTCAGCTGCTGGTTATAGCCCTGAACAGGAAAAAGCTGATGTTGGAAGGGTTGCGTGAACTGAAAGCTGACGATTGATCAGCATCTGCAGGGGAGAATTGCTGAGGGGGGCCTTAGCAAGTTAGGAGGGTGCCACTGAATGATCCTGTTGTGCCTCTCCTCCAGGAGAGTGCTGCAGCATGTAGAGATGCTCAGAGCTAATTGAGCAGTACTTTATCCCTCAAGCTGCCTCAGGATTTCTCTAAGACTCCTCACTCAGTGGGCAGATCTAATATCTTTACTTCCTAAAATACCTTACCAATGAATAATCCCACTGCAGTCCTGGAGCTCACGTGTGGGTTAACATGCTCCATGACACAAGTGACTGTGCCAGAATTTGGCACTCTGTAACCAAAATTCTTGTTAAAGTAGCAGGACATGTCTCTGATTTAATGTACCATAGCTTTTTCCTTGCCCCTAAGACTTGCAAAGACACCAAATAAGTGTTTCTTACCTTGATTTTTTGCTGATTCTCTACACAGAGATTCATCTGATTCACCTACACTATGAGATGGCATCAAGGGCCAGAGCAGAGACAGAACAGCTCCTTCTATATTCTCCTTGCTGGACCAATCTATAATGTTGAGTGGTTGGGATGGACTCCAAATCACCCACTTATGATTTAATTAATTCACAAAGAGGCGAAAGTTTCCGGAGAGAAGAAACTAACATTTTAAACATGGAGGTTTCAAGTATTTTCACATTAGAGGTATTTTCTGAGGCCACATTCACACTGCCCACCCACCTGCATTAACACAAACCTCAGCCCTGCCCTCCATGGCCAAACCTGCAGCATGTCCCTGTGAGCCAGCACTGCTCTGTGAGCAGTGGCCTTGGCAATATTCACAGCATGAAGATTGAGTAGTGTAAGCGTGGCCCAGAGAATCTGAAAGAACATTATGAAATGGAATGATCTATGTTGCAGAAGGTCAAATAACAGCTTTATATAACTGTGAAACTGTTTCAACAGATTATTAAAAACTGCAGTATTCTGAGACACACAATGCTTGGTTCATGTGCTGCTCCCAAAAGGCCTTCCAGACCCCTCCAACCTTCATCAACAGTCAAAACGAATGTTTCTTTTGTTGTCTTGATTAAAGCCTTCCATTTGCTTCCTCTGGGACTCTGAAAGGGCCCATCTTTGCATGGCCAGCTCTGCCAGGGCTGGCAGCTGTGTCAGTGCTGCCAACAACTCCCCAAACCATGGCCCACAGTCCCGGCAGGACGATGGCCGGAGGCTCACATCCAGCTCTGAGAGTTCCTTGAATGCTCCTAAACCTTGGCAGAAAACAGCCCAGCCTTCGTCAGAGATGTTGTTGTTATAACTCAAATCCAGCTTCTGCAATCTGGCTAAATGGCCATCTTGCCTCAGGGATGCTGCAAGAGATGACAAATACAAACACAATTAATAAATCCTGGTAACTGCTTTAAAAGCTTCTCAGGAAAGAGAATGGTATTTTCATACCTCATTTCAGCAGTCAAACAGCAAGATTTAACTCCTCAGCAACATAAAACCACTTGCTGCTGATCTCAAAAAGACAGTTTTATAACAGCTGAAGGAGTTTACAACATGTAAAGCACAGGCAGTTCAAAAAGAACAAAGTACTGAGTGTCAACCTGAAAACCTTGGAGTCAGTTGGAAGGAGGTTACATCAAGTGCCAATTGTAAGAGGCAGACAGGCTTTACAGGGAAATTTGGAAAGAGGAAAGCAAAACTATGTGAGGCTGCATGACTGACTACAACAGCCACCTCTCACTGTGGGAGGGCCAAATATACCTTAAAGATGTCCTTAACATATGATTGGCAAAGGAAACACCCATCAAGGATGATGGTTTTTAAAGCCAAAAGTATTTTGGCTTCACCTCACCAGATTTCACATTCCAGGGCCTTACAGTTGTCACACAGCTATTGCCAGTGTCAGACACTCAAACCCCTGAGTCAGGTCCACAGAATCATGAGTATAAAATCAACAAGTTTTTGAAAGGATCTTAGAATTTATTCCTTTCTCAGGTTCCTGTTTTCCAGTATTTTTTAGCAGCTGCTAAGAGGTGGGTGAAAACGTTTGTGGTTTAATTCTCCCCCAGTAGTCTGACTCCAGAAACAAACCTAATGGTTGGGAGCTGGTAGTGCCTGTATTCCTGGCTGTCAGCACAGACATTTTCTCTAAAGTACTGAGCCATAAAACAGTATCCAAGCAAAATAAAACTCCTCAGATGCAGCTTTTAATATTTGATATAAAAAACTGATGAAAACCCTACATTTTCTAAATTATGCTATTTTTTGTTGGTTGGGTTTTTTTCTTTTAGTATTAATAGATAAAAGTGCTTAAATATTCTTTGCATTTTAGCCTTTTCAGCTTTTCCACTGGGCATGTCCAGGACACACAGAAAAATGAAAACCCTTTTTGGGAAAAATACTCCTGTATTTTCCATGTTTTCATTTGATTCATGCAAAAAAGTGCTCAGCCCGTGGAACAAGCCCCTTCTGAATTGTGGTCTAAATGCCCCAGTTCCTTGAGTGCTAGTAAATACCATGTTATACTTACTGAGAAGTGCCAAATCTTCAGCCACCAGGTTACAGCTGCTCAGTCTTAACACTTGAATCTCCGTTGCAAGCTTTAGTGCTCCCAAAAGCAGCTTTAGGTTCCCACCAACGCACTTATTCCAAGAAAGGTCTAATATCTCCAGTTCAGGAAGGTGAAGGGCAGCCTCAGCTGAAAAGATTAAGACCAGCAACTTCTGCTTACTAAGAGAAAACAACATGGCCTCAACAGACACCTCACCTGCAATTCACCCATAAGATCCTAACAGCCTGATTGCTTGTGCTTAAAATGAATTCTTTTATCCCAATAAAAGTCATTAAAAAAAAAAAAAGGCTCTGCCTATAGAATCTATCAGGACTCTATGGAGAGGGTTTTTTGTCTTTCTATTCAAACTATTGCCTTGGCCTGTTGCACAGCTTTCTTTTAAATGATTTTATATCAATTTAAAGACAGTGATTTTTTTGCTGTGAACTCACAGTTTAAGGTGAGATGCTTTGTATCTTTTGACCGCTCTGATTTCCATGGTGTCACTCTTACATAACTGTAGTGATATAAACATAATACTCTTTCTGCAAGGTCCTCTAAGGACCAGCTTAGCTTGCTGCTGCTTCTGCTGGAGGCAGTCAAGTCTTACTCCAGGTTTAATGTCAGGAGTAAACAGTAGGAAAGAGAAGTGCACAAGACACAGTAACTGAGAAATCCCTCTGTACTATTTCATGTGCCATATGGAACACCTATCAAAGGCCACTAATCCAGAGATTTGCAATAAGTAGGCAAAAGAGGCTGAATTTACATATCCTGTGTTAGAGTGGACTTTTCTTCACAGCTGTGCAATATCTTTTCCACCCCTGCAGTCATTTCCTCCATTGCCCCATGCTGAACTCTACCCCAGAAAAATTCTACTGAAATTTTCACCTGCAGTGAGGTAAAACACCCTCGGTCAAAACTTTACCCCACTGTGTGAAGTGTTATATCCAGACTATGATTACAGCATAATATAAAATCATGTTTTTCTTTTTTCCCCAAAAATTAAGGAGTATATAAAAGCTCACTATCAGACAAAGGACTAAGAGAACTTCATCCCCTCAGGTATATTAGAGGAAGACATACAATTCTCTTCTCTTGCAGCCTGGTCCCACAAAGCACTGATTTCATCACAAGTTTTTACTCAGGACCTGAGGTACAATGTAACCATGATCCTTGGAGTTCAGCCAAAGGAGAAGGGAATGCTTTGTCCTGCAGGGATACACAGAGAATGGGCACACTTTAAAGAAACATTCTTACCTAGTGATGAAAGGGACTCTTCACCTAAGCCACAATTGCTGACGGTCACAGATCTCAGCTTTGGTAAAAACCTGAGCTTGCTCAGAAGAGGATCTGATGAGAGTCCTACATTTTTATTTGAGGATAAATCCAGCTCCTGAAGATTGGAGAGTAAAGGTATCACCTGGGCTACAAAAACATGAAAGATTTATTAGACAGTCACTGATCCATAACAAATATGTAGTTGTATAGCTTGACATAATTGTTGTGTAGCCTGACATGATTTCTTTTCTTTATAAATCAATCCAAAAGTCAAGGCCAGCCAAGTTTTTACACCCAAGTTCATGGTGAGTAATATTTTAGACCATAAATAGCCTTGTCATTTTCAGTAAAACTGTTTCAGAAGTATTCCATACTGTGTGGAAGGTTGTCAGAACATGGCTTCCTGGAAATTTTCTAGGTGAAGTAGGGAATTTCCAAATCCCTTCATTGTTAACTGAAACTTCTTTGTCTTAATGTTATTCTCTATTATAAAATAAATTAAGAATAAATTGTGATTGATATTACTAATACCGATTATTTCCTAAAGCTTCATCATCATCATCAAATCTTCAAGTTATCTTCTTTGTCATGGAAAACAGGAGGTGGGCAATATAGGCTTTGAGTCACGGGATTTTTTGTTGTTAAGAGTAAAAACAAAGTTATGATAACAAAGAGAGAGAAACAAACTGTCTCACAAATTGATTGGGAAATGCCTTTTTCTTCATAGTAGTGTTTATAGCTGCATCAATTCAACCTGGAGAAAGCACACAGCATCAGCAATGCAAGATCTCCTAAAATCACCCTCTTCTTGGTGTGCAGCTCACCAAGGAGGTTTTAGGCAGTTATGTTTCCATGCACATACCCACCATTAATCCATCCAGCTTATACCACTAGGGGCTCTGCCCCTGGATATTTCCTAAATTATTGATTATCCCAAAAAAGCAGTGTTTGGTGGCAGTTCCCACATTCCCACTGTGGGTCTGAACCACTGCAGATTCAGGTCCTCAGTCCCACATGGGATCAGACACTCTGAGATTTCCTTTTGTTCAGCAAAAACCCCATTCCATATTGATCAAGAAAGCTCTCACCCACACTGCATTTTCAGAGCTGCCTAACAAAAAATGTACTGAGCTCAGCTCTTGTGCCAGGCAGAATCTTTTATGTCTTTGAGATATTTTCAGAAGACAAAACCAAGATCCTTAATGAATTTCCTCAACATGTCCTTACACAAAACAGTCATGTCCTCTTCTGTGACACAGCACTGGTGAAGATCAAGGACTTCCAGATTTTTCAAGCTGGCCAAATGAGCTGTTGATGCTTTAAAGCCACCACCAATCTCTCTGTTACACGAGATGTCTAATTTCCTTAGCTCTGCAAGGTGCTGCAAAGCAGTGTCTGAAATGCAAAAGGGAACAGGTTGGTCACTGGCTGCCACAACAGCCCAGGTCAGGGCTTTGGCATCTATTTACTTCAACGTCAAAGTCTGCACAAGGTATTGCAGGCAAAGCTCCTGGGCTAAGCTCCAGTGTATAATCACAGCAGACATTCAGTAATGCAGCAAAGCTCCCTGTCCATGCAGCTCCATTCTTCTCCGGGAGAGCAGGTGAAGGTGAGGCCAGCTCATCCCTCACATCCAGTCAATCCTCAGCCCATTGCAGAAATTACTGCTGGATGTGCTCATTAATGCCAGTTGTATTGCCACATCCACTAGGGAGAGACACAGATAACAAGACCATTTCATGTGGCTTCACTGGACACTTTAAGTGGTAATGGTGAATTTGGATTTCCTTTGGAAAGCAGGATTAGCTTGTTAAAAGTTAGCTGCCTGTCTATGTTCTTGTCTATGTTCTATCAGGGGAAAGCTCGTCCAGGGAGCCACAGCCCTGAAATGTGTCTCAGATAAATGGTGTGGACAGTGGCTCTCCCCACTGAATTTCACAAGCTTGAGCTCAGGGAAGATAAATTCATCTCCTGCTGAAAGGCCCTGTAGACTTTTACCAATCATCAAACAGCAAATCATGATTGCCCATTAATACTGCCGAACCATCAGCAAAATCCCACCTCATTGCCTTTCCTAAATGGTTTTCAGAGGTACAATCTACTCAGAATGAAACTTTTCTGAACATAAAGTCTAACCTAAGCCCTGGAGGCTGTCTTGCTTTAATCCACACATGTGCAAGTTTAACTCTTTCAAGCCTGGCACGTTTTTCAGATCCTGAGCAATAACCTTCATGCTGCATCCAATGTTTTTGTTGATAGAGATATCTAATATTTCAAGGTTTGGGATCACATTTAGAAGTTCAGCTGGGAAAAGAAAAAAAGAAAAGAAAAGAAAACCAGAATTGGTAATTGTCTAGAATACATACAAGATGAACCCTAGAAAAATACAGCACCATGATAAACAGGAAGATGTGGCCAGGGTTTGCCTGTCAGTGTGGTTTAGACTTCCTAATTTTCTGCTCTACCTAAACAACACAGTAAAATAAAGACTGGATAGGAATAATGAAAATCTGTGAAAAATGTTTATAAAAATAAAAGTGGAAAAAATACAGGGACTCTTAGAAAAATACAGAGGAATAAAAAGCAGAAATACAAGCACAAAAAAAAAAAATTCTAATGAAAATACAGAGGAATGTCTGTTACATATGGGGCTCCTCCTGCAGTGGAGATGAGAGTCATGGGGCTTCTCTTTACTGAGCAAAAACCTTTTAAACACACAATGAGATAAAAAGACCACACAGGATTAAGCTACAATGGTGAGAGGACTGAAGGGAAGGATGGGCAGTGCTTGCCAACTAAGCCTAAATTCCCAATCCTCAGATCTGCTTTCCAATCCCATGGCTAATTACATATTCAGCTGCTTAATTTTGAGCAAATTGTGTTGGAAATTCTGGCACACATTTTTTGCTGAAGGTCTCAAAAGATACAGAAACCCTGGGCCACTGAGGCAGCCAGACTGTGGTTTAGGTCTTCTCAACCCTCCCTCATATGATTAGAGAGAACAACTTTATTCTTTGGAAGGAAGTGCACTAAATCCCCACATCATAAATACTGTTATAATGCAGAGATTGAAATAAATTAACTTTTCACTGATATTGAACTCAATACAGTCATTATCTAAGTCAAATAAGTTCCATTTTTGTGAAGCCAGCCTCAGTCCTGCTCCATGGACACACCAAGGGATTCTCCATCCTTTGCCGTCAGGTTACAGTCTGTAATTTTCAGACATTTTAATTTGCATCCTTCCTGAAGTTTTTTTGTCAGCAGTGATAGTTTTCCACCTATGTTACTGTTCCATGATAAATCCAGTTCTTCAAGCTGAGAAACAATTTCAAATGCCTCTCCTGCAACAGAAGTCCAGAATGAGTCATCCCATGTATCAATTTCAATGCAAACAAAAATACAGGTTTGGAATATATTAAAGAGGAAGGTTAGCTACTTAATACTCAAATTACTTTATGATGAATGTGTTTCCAGGAAAATTGATAAATAAATGAATTATTGCTTCTGCAGCAATGTTGTATAAAATCTCACATTGTCTGAGGAGCAACATAGATCACAAGTCATTGTCACAGTGCACACAAACCTGAAATTTATTCAGGTTCCCAAACCCTCATGAGGCTGTTTGGCCTGTGCTGGGACCAGAAAGACCAGCCTAGAGGGAAATCAATACAAGTGACAAGTCTGAATTTACTGTCCTGTAGAGTTCTCCTCTGTTTTATTTGGCAAATTTCCAACATCCTCTGTACTGCGTCCACAGGTCATTTTGGAGGGAATGAAAGAATTCCTCTCACAACTATTTCTGAAACATCAAAGTCTCATTTCTGACAGGAATTTCTGACTCACTTCATAAGAAACCAAGATGAGCATTGTTTTGACTCAAACTAACTTTCCCATGATTTCAAGGCAGACAGAACTGACTTTTACTACATTCAGAAATATCAGCCTTGGCACACCTGCCAATGTGAACTGTGTTAGTGCTTATTTGAAGTACTAACATCCTGCTGTAAAATCCAGCTTCCTAACTTCCTTTGTAGAGGAGGGAGGCAGAGCATATTTGCATAAACTCATTCCCAAAAAAGATCAATTAATCAGGCCATATGCAAATGCAATTTCAAAGTGTCATACACAATTTTTTGATCTAAAGTCTAATAATTGACAATTATATTTTAACAGTAATATCCTTTCATGTCTGTGTGGTTTTCATAATTAATTTTTCACAAAAGATTTATAATAGAAAAATAATTACTTCTGTAAGTGAATATCAGGGTTTGAGAGGAAAGGCCACATATTAATTCTTATTTTTGCATTTATTTTAAATTATTGCCTCAGTGTTGAATACTGAGCAATGCTCTACAGTTAAGAAGTGCAGCATAGCCTGTTTCTGTTTGACATGAAGACTATAGCTTTCCAGACACATTTTCCTCCCAGAAGATAAATAAAGGAATATAACTCCAGGAATTGTTTCCTATCACCTTTCACAGTCAAGCTCTGAGCAACACATAGAATAGGTTGATATTATGATTATACTTCAGACATTGATTTCTAAGCAGGATGTGCTGAGTCCACAAGAGGCCACATTTCTGCAGAGAAATGTGGACAAGGTCACACAGCCAGGATTGGCTTAAATACACAAGTTGTTTTCAAAATCACAGGCAAAATCAATGCAAACTGACTGTTGCTATTCCACGTGTCAAGGGCATCGCATTTTGTCTGGAAATTCAAGTTCTGTGATCAATTTTTTGTCTGTTCCAGCAGAAGCTAAACTGAACTGGGAAGGAAACAGCACTGAAGAACCTGGCAGAAAGAATCAATTGGAAAAATAATCAATAAAATTCAGAAGGAGAAAAAAAACCCCAACAAACAAAAAAAAAATCTATGAGAAGGGTTTGGAAAAGAATGAAATAAATTTGAAAATAGAAAATTAAATACAGATTTCACACTCATCAGAGACAGAGCAGTTATTTTCACCAGCTTTTGTAGAAATGCTTATTTCCTCCCCAAGAGATTGCATGACTCACTTTTGATCTACCACCATATATGTCACCTTATTTCTGAACCTTTCCTGGAAAAGGCTTGGACATGAATGACATAAACAAAGCCCAGCTTCACAACTCAGACCCAGTTTAGAACTTACAAAATAAGCAATAAGTTTTATAATTTCTAATTGATTGTGTTTGCCCTTCTTTTAAATACAAACCACAGATCCATTCTGGAGTAAACTCCAGGCCCAGAGGTGACTCTGTGCCAGAACCTGACTGTGCAACACCACCTTAAAAACCTTTCCATCTCACACTTTGCAGAAAGCAGGGTGCAGGCACTCCAAGCAAAGAAGCAAGCAGAGGAATAAGCTTCTCCTAGACTTGAAAGAAACACCAATTCATAAAGCTCTGAGGTAGCACTTCTGGTTTAATTCTTCTCCCAAAAGACCACTGGGTTTTCATGATGAGCACTGACCTGTCCTGCAGCTCCAAGATCTAAGCTGACCCTATTGTGATTGACCCTGCTTCTAGGCAAAAAAAAAAAAGCAATCCAAATTAAAAATATTCTTTCCTGCAAATAGGACTGGATTCTCTTCCCTTCTGAGTATGAAAGCTTCACACCCTGTGGAATGAACTCTGCAGAGCTACCTAAAGGTGTAAGGTGTAAGCCCAAGTTTCTACTGTTTCACAGCAGGAGTTTACTTTGCCCAGTGTGGAAGCAGCAGGAGTAGGATGTAGGAAGAGATGAGATGGATTACATTAGCCCCAAGCTGTCTGGAAGTAAATGTGCATGAAATCCTGTACCTAAGGAGATGACATCCTCAGCTGTCAGCCTGCAGTTGTTAAGTCGGAGGATTTTTAACAGGTTCACGTGATGAAGATGGGCAGTGAGAGCTTTCAAAGTTCCTCCAACACAGCCATTCCAGGACAGGCTGATCTCTTCCAGCTCTGGGAGAAACGGCAGTAAAGAAGCTGTAAGGAAAGAAAAGAAAAACTTTTCTGTCTGCATGTTTCTGCACACCCTGGATATCACTACATCTTAATATTGAGAAGTTTTCTACAACCAATGCAGAATTATAAAGCCATGACAATTTGTACCTCACTTTTCTTATCTGTAGCTCGAGCATAAGGACATTCATCTGCTTCACAGACCTGGATGATTTCTATATTTATATATATTACATAATTGACATAATTTATTAATTAATACTTCTCAGGGACCAAGGACCATTAGATGAAATGTCAATATGGCCTGTATAAAAGACAGGGAAGGGAAAAGAGGAGAGGGAATAATGGAACAGGCAAATAAAAATTAAAGAAATACATGAAGTGATTAGTTGAATAAAATATGCATTTACCCAACTCTGTTATATCTGCTGCACTTAGTGCACAATTATTTAGATCCAGATTCTTGCTGCTGGGTTTCTTTCCCAGTTTCTCCATGAACTGGTTAAATCTCTGCTCACCAGATGATGACTCTGCTTCAGAAGTGAGATGTGAAAGTCCATCTGAGCAACAAAGAAATAGGGCCCTGGTTATCTCTACCAATAAACACAAGGTGTAAAACCTCCCTGAGGCTGCCAGGTGAAGACTTTAGGAAATGAATTAAATCTGGCAATGAAGCAGGCTCTATTTTTCATCAATGTGGATCAACATACTGACTGATAAAATCACTATAGATCAAATCAATACAAAAGTCCTCTTGCATTTTCATACATCTGTGTAAGGTTGTTCCTGCTTTTCTGGGCTTTGCAAAGCAAAAAAATACAGAAAATAGCAATCCACTCTCAGTAGCTGCCCTCTTATCATTTCCCCAAACTAATCCAGACCTCTTAGGACAAATGATGGGGTTCTAAGCTTTACCTTCCATATCCCTTTGAAAAATAGTTCCATTTTCTCTGGAATGGATGTAAAGAGTATCCTTGTGTGTGCAAAATAATATCCATGAGGTATTCCCATTCCCTTCCCCTCCTCCTGCCCAATGCCAACTGATAGGAAACATCTGCTCCTGCTGTCTTCAGACTGCTTTAGCAGGACAGCAGGACAGAGACCCATCTTAAATAGAACAGGCCAAGCTACTGCTCAAAACTTGGCTCTGAAACCAAATAAGCTCTGGAACTAATGAGCTGACTTCAGCACTGACTCTCACATTGCAGACCAAGAGAGAAGTCACCCAAAGCTTTATCCTTCCTCAGCAATGTGGATCTCACTCCTTGCTTAGCATCCATCAAATCAGAGGGTATATCCTTGATAATGTTCTAATCAGAAGTAAATCCTGGCTAGAGGATAAACTGCAGGCAGGAAACACAGGATTTTGGCTAGCAAGAAAACAGCTGATTTTCTATGAAATTAAAATATATACACATACACACGTGTTTCATTATTGTACCAGCAATACCTTCTACAGAGAGATCTTCCTCTTCACTCGGATCATCAGCTCCATCATTGCTTATTTCTGTTTCTTCAATTTCCCTTCTGTCCTTGCCTTCAGATTTCCCAAAGTCAAAACCTTTGAAGAACTGTTTGATGGCTGAAGGCTGCTCTTGCCTTTTTTCAGGAGCACACTTCTTTCCTTGGAACTGTTTTATAACAAAGTCAAATGGGGAACTCTTTGGGTTGTTCTCTTCATGTCTATCCTGGCAGTTCTGGTCATCTTTCAGGGGATCAGCAGACAGAATTAGTGTGAATTACAATTAGAATTTAGTAATGTTTACTCTTGCTTACCTTTTTTCATAAGGGCAGATGCACTGAGAATTTACCACCATTGCCTCCATCCAACTATATATCATAGCCACAATACAAGAGTTCAAGAGCAGAGCACTTACAATCACAAAAAGCTGAGGCAATGTTCAAAATCTGGCATGAATGTGTTGCCACAGCTGCATTCCTTAGAAATACAAAAATGGTACAAACCAATGTACCTTGATGTGCATGCACAGTTACTGAGCTGTAGAGCAATCCTGCTTTCCCTGGCTGTGATTTCCTGCTGTAGAGAGGCATTATTTTAAACAAAGACATACCTGTCTTTTCCATTGGTACACCTGAGGTTCCTTCTCACACTTTTCAGTTTTTACAGCACTTTCAGGGTTTGTGGGATAGGTGAGCCATGGTATGCAAACAAAACCTCCCTCCTTTCCTTAACAGGAACTTTCCGTGCAGTTTTCTCTCACAAGTTTCCGTCTTCATCAGTTTGACAGCAGCAGCTCTGCACAAGTGGTTTGTGGGCTCTTTCCTGATATCTCTATTCCTCTGTACTCTGTCCCAAAGTCTGCCGTTCCTGGGGCTGAGAAGTCCACCCAAATGCTCCGATCATGTCCCAGCTTAGATCGCTCTCAAGGCAGAAATCAGGAAGCGGCAGCAAAATCTTCGCTACTGCTCACAAACCACTGCATGCCCCGGAGACAGCTGTTGTTAGAAGAGGCTGAGTCACCGCAGAGATCAGATTACAAGAGTACCTGAAGAAAAGCTCTTTGTTTTCCCACCCCTTTTGTCCATACTGGTCAGCAATAGTGCTGAGGCACAGCTCAGTAAGAAAAAGAGAGGAATGACACTCCTGATCATTTTAGGAGACCCAAGAGAAGTCACAATCATCTTCTGGGCAACACCATGATACAACTTTACAATGCAATCATTGGACACACCTTACGTATACCTCAAACTCCAGTACACTTTTTTTGTCTGTCTGTCCTAAAGTCTGATTTCCTCAATGGTGAACATCACAATTTCTGTCTTAACCGTATGCATGGCCATTTATGCTGAATCTCTTTAGCCTTGATAATCTTTTTCAGTCTATGAAGTCTTGTCTTTTGCAGGCTAGACCAGCCAAACCCTTCTCCCCTCCTGTGGCAAACTCTCCATTTCCCTTATCATTTCCTGCTTACCTTTGTCTGCACCTGGTGCAATATAATTTATACTTCCTCAAACACAAAGGACCATCCACTGTCTGTATACAGTCTGTATACACTACAGACATATGCAAACTGGAATGATTCTGGTGGGGAATGATAAAGCTGGTAAACAAAAACAGCCTGAGGAAGAGCTTGACTCAGGGTGAAACTAGACAAAGGATTCAGACAGGGTGGAATGAGGCACAGGGTGCTGCAAGGAGTCAACAGGGTAAGATGAGAAAAAAAGTGAACATCAAGAAAATCCTCTTGTATGTGAGAGGAACCATGCTGGGAAACATTTACAGCAGCTAGAAATGCACAAAACCATTGTGATCAACCATCCTTCTCTGCAGAAAAGGAGGGCACACTTCTATTCCCAAACAGAAAGGATCTCCAAGTTGACTTTAGGGTTTTCTGAAATCAGCATCTCACTACAGAGCTGTATCCCCATTAGGAATTTATACTAATTCAGGTGTCCAGGCACCTCAGCTATGCAGACAATGGAAAATCCCAGCATTTCTGTTGGTGAAGAACTGAATTTGTCAGTTCTTCAACTGTGCTTAACAGCAGAGTGACTGGGAATGAAGCAGAGACCAAGCAACCAGTGTTTGTGACCATGTCCTGGGCTCTCCTGGCCCAAGACTTCTCAATGCCCACTGCAGTTCAATGACAACAAGGAATGGGAATATTTGATAATCTCTGTTCTTTGAAACTGGGGAAATATTATAGCATGTTAAGCACCAATTACAGTGGTTAGGCTAGGCTAACTCACACGCTCTGATATCAGTATTTCAGGTGATGTGCTGCCAATTCAGAAGTTCTTTCACCACTTGAGGCTGTTGAGTGACAGTGACAATACCCCAGGGCACTCTGACAGCATCCCTGTAATTCCATCAGAAGGGAAACACAGTGACCTGGTCTCCTCTTCCTAAAAAGCAAATCCTTACCTTTTTTTTACATCAGCTATGAAAGAAGAAGTGCCAACAGGATTATCCCCCCAAAAAAGCAGGCTAACAAGAGCGAGGTGGCTGCACTAGGCTGCAAACATGAGCAGCACTTTGCAACAGGCCCGGGCTGTGCTGTGAACATGCGATACATCACAACAGCCAGGCCCAGCCATGCCCTGTTTGCTGCTCTGTCCATCTCCTCCCTCCCACACTTCTGAACAGGTGTCCTGCTCCTGTCAGAGCCCTGAGTCTGCGTCCTGCAGCGTGTCATGGACAGCACAGGGCAGGCTTAGCTTTTGGAGTTTAAAAATAATAGACGCCTTCCCCTTTCTATCCAGTTAAATGGTCTGAGACCATCTGCCGAGCGCTCAGTGTCACACTTGTTTATATCTACTCTTCCCTCTGTCTAGACCTGGGGCAAGGTTAGGAACAGAACCAATTTTGGAACAAAATAGTTTAAGTTGCATCCCACAAACCATCCATCGGGGAGAGATTAATGTGGATTTTTGTACTTTGCCTCATTGTGACTCCTTAATCCGGCATATATTCCAAAGAAATAATGCCATTAGAGGATTAGTGCCACAAGTTCATTTGAAAAAAAGGATTTGCAAACACTGAAATCCTATATTCTATGTGCTTAATCACCGAGTATCATTTTGGGGATTTCCTCTCCCTTTAGCAGTGTCTCTTTCAATGAAACCCAAGCAAATCAGCAACTCTGTTTTGGATGGCCCTTATTATCCACTAAAGGAAAACAAACCCCAAGCATTTGGTTAAAATAATACAGAGTCTAAACACCCTGGACTAAACCCATCCTTGGTGTTGTACAATCACAGTTACATCAGGGAGGCACTCGGCCCAATATTTATACAGAATGTAATGATTTGGGATATTTATCTGTCAGAGATTTTTGATTATCTGAGTGCTGCAGCACTTAAAAACACTGTGACCTTTGATTGCTTCCATGGCAGTTCCCTTCCCCAGCTTTGCCTCTGCAGGATACTCTTGCTTGGCCTGATTTGTTGGGGAGCGTGGAGCAAGGAATTGGTGGGGCTGGAAAAATGTTCATTGCCCCATGGTTGACTTTGGCAGTTCCATGTGTCACACTCTTGGGCTGTGCTGACTCAGAACACACTTGCCAGGAGCTGCTGCCAAGGGAGGGTAAGGAAGAGTGGCTTGGTCCAGCACCAGGTTTGCTGCCCTCATCTTTCCACAGCTCTCTCTATCCTCTCTCTCCTGCTCTGTCCCTTCCATTCATCCTCTGACTTTTATCCCTCGTAACTGAGGCAGGGGAATTCAGCCTTGCCCATACAGCTGGGAATCCCTCAGCTGACACTGATGCTGTGCTGTTTGTGCCAAACATCTGTATCACCCACTAATTTGATGCTGACTTTCTTTATAGCCAGGTGATCCACAGAACCACAGGGATTGGCTTTAGGACCAGAAAAATCCTTCAGAACAGACTGCACACACAATGGGCTGGAAGGACCATTCCCCAGGGAATGCCTGCCTGACCTGAAGGGGCTGCACACTTGGCAGGACAAGGCCAGGTTCAAGGCCAAGTTGGAAGGGCTTGGAGCAACCTGGGAGAGTGGAAGGTGTCCCTGCCCATGGCAGGGGGTTGGGACTGGATGAGCTTTGAAGTCCTTTTGAACCCAAGTCATTCTGGGATTCTGTGATAGTCTTGCAAGGTCTAGTGCTGGATGAACTGGTTGTGTGCAGAGCTGTGTGACAACCCCTGTTGTCACTGATTTATTATAGCTGTAAGAATCCCAACCTTTGCATATTCCAGCATAAGCAGCTAAACATGAACTGTAGAATCCTAAACCATATTTTTTTATCAAAGCCAGAATTTACATTACTTCCTATTAAATATTGACAACAAGTAGATTTTTCCAACTACTAAGTCATATTGAATTTGCATTTTGAATTCCATAAAAAGCAAGACTTATAGATCTATTGCACAAAATGTACATTTATGCACACAGTGCAGATACTTTTAACATTCAGATATCAAGTTACTCCTTTTAAAACTGAGCTACACAAATGCAAACTTAACTTTCAGTCTCTATTACAATGTACTAGACTGATAGAGAAGATTTTCAGTCTGGAAAATTCTTTTTGGTTGAACTTCTGCCAGGATTAATCCCCTTTCAGTTAATCATTTACATGAATGGGCAATCTGCAGAGTTCATGCAAGGCCTGCAAACTATATTAATTACTAGAAACCTAATTACAAATCAACAGAGTCACAGGATCAGTGGTACCTCCATACGGTACCATCTGGTACAATGGAGCTGGATAGTTCAGCAAAACTCCCCATTCCATTCTGTGGAACCTCAACCTGAATGTGTGTTGCCAGAGAAAGCAAGTTTATGCAGATATAGGAGCTGGTTATAAAGCATTTTTAGGGCCATCCTTAATGACAGCATCCAATCCCTGTATTCTGATTGCTGTTTCAAAAGTGACTTCCAAAAAAGTATTTGTTCAACACTTTTCTTTTTGAATGTGATACTAATGCTGTCATTACTTGCCTTTGCACATCCAAAAATACCCTAAATTCATACAAAAGATAATGAAAAAAATACTAAACAAGCAAATATGAAAATGTGTCCACCATAAAATCCTTAAAGGTAGTACCTTATGTGTACTGTGATTTGCTTCACTAATTATTACTCCAATTTAAAAGCTATGTTCAGAAATTCCGTAAATGACAGGAACATGGGACAGTGCAGCTTCCATTAAAATTTAATTTTACCAATGTATTTTATCTTTCAGCAAATGGCCAGTTTGAAAGTTTTGAACAAAACCTATCAGTCTTGTTTTATACCCTGTTAGCCAAACAAAAATTCAGGTCTTTAAAATCTCAGCTTTTATGGTTTTACATCCAGACTTTCTAAGCCATTTGGATGCAAGGTCACAAAAAATCCAGTATTCTTTCCACAAATAATGTTTGATCAATTGACTTTTCAAAGGAATTCAAAGGAATTTTCAAGGGTTAGCCATATTTCACCCCTGAGGTTCACTCATTGGCTTTTGGAATTGAGATCAGCCACACTAAGTAAAATTGAGTAGCTTCAGTTTTACCCAAAGTTTGGCTCCAATTCTCCGTGATTAATTCCCAGATTTCCCTTGGGAATGAGCGAGCTATGTAATCCACCTAGTCTCCCCAAATTCTCTCAAGAACAGTAGTAAATACAATGTTTTTC